ACCAACATTTTTGCGGTTGTATGTTGGTATCATGTCGTCGTTGTCCGCGTCCTCCGAAGACATTTGGTTTCGGGACAATAACTTTAGTATATGTTAATAGAAATCTATGAAATTTAAACACAAGGCTTATAACCACAAAAGGAAGGTTGGGATTGATTTTAGGGGTTATGGTCCGAAACAGTTTAGGAATTAAGGGCCAAAAAGGGGCCCAAATAAGCATGTTTCTAGTTTCCAGATAATAACTTGTGGAAAGGTGTATGGATCTCTCTGAAATTAGACCACAAGTTTCCATACCACAAAGGGATGGTTAGGATTGGCTTTTTTTTTTTTTGGGGGGGGGGGGGGGGGGGGTTATGGCTCAAACTGTTTAGGAATAAGGGGCAAAAAAGGGGGAAAACAAGGGTTTCCTGGTTAATGGACAATTACTTTAAAGTACAATGTTATGTTTGGATTACCTCCCTTACACTGCTTTTAAAATTATGTATAAAGAAATGTTGTATTGTCTTGAGGTGATTAGCTGTCAATTTATTTTTAGAAGTTACTATTAAAAATGCTGATTAAGAATATTAATTTTAGCCATGATTATGTTTGTCATTTTCTATTTTAAGACTTTTATGACAATATGACAGTAATAACATAAGCAACACGACGGGTGCCACATGTGGAGCAGGATCCGCTTACCCTTCCAGGGCACCTGAGATCACCCCCATTTTTGGTGGGGTTCGTGTTGCTTAGTCTTTAGTTTTCTATGTTGTGTCATCTGTACTATTATTTGTCTGTTTGTCTTTTTAGTCCCCTACCAATGAAGTCGAAAGGTACTTTAGGTTTGCACTCTGTCTGTCTGTCTGTCTGTCTGTCTGTCTGTCTGTCCGTCTGTCTGTCTGTCCTTCTGTCAGTCCGGCAAATCAGCTTTCCACACTTTTTTAGCTCACCTAACCCAAAGGGCCAAGTGAGCTTTTCTCATCACTTGGCATCCATCGTCCATCGTCGTCCGTTCACTTTTACAAAAATCTTCTCCTCTGAAACCACTGGGCCAAATTTAACCAAACTTGGCCACAATCATCATTGGGGAATCTAGTTTAAAAAATATGTCCAGTGACCCGGCCAACCAACCAAGATGGCCACCATGGCTAAAAATAGAACATAGGGGTAAAATGTAGATTTTGGCTTATATCTCTGAAACCAAAGCATTTAGAGCAAATCTGACATGGGGTAATATACACCTTATCGCTATTTGTCCGCCATTACTGGACATCACACAAGTTCCCGTAAAATTTTGACGTCATAATAGAAAATATCTGACGCCACAATGGAAAAGTGATTGTTGTATGACGTCAAAAGTTCGAGCGGGACTGATTCTCGGGTCAAGCGGGATTAGCGATAAGGTGTATTGTTTATCAGGTCTAGATCTATCTGCCCTGAAATTTTCAACAACTTGTTATTGGGTTGCTGCCCCTGAATTGGTAATTTTAAGGAAATTTTGCCGTTTTTGGTTATTATCTTGAATATTATTATAGATAGAGATAAACTGTAAACAGCAATAATGTTCAGCAAAGTAAGATCTACAAATACGTTGTCATGACCAAAATGGTCAGTTGACCCCTTAAGGAGTTATTGCCCTTTATAGTCAATTTTTAACCATTTTTCGTAAATTTTTGTAATCTGAAACTACTGAGACAAATTTAACCATACTTGGCCATAATCATTATTAGGGTATGTAGTTTAAAAAATTTGTCCGATGACCCCGCCTTCCAACCATCATGGCCGACATGGTTAAAAATAGAACATAGGGGTAAAATGCAGTATTTGGTTTATATCTCTGAAACTAAAGCATTTAGAGCAAATCTGACAGGTGGCAAAAATGTTCATCAGATTTAGATTTATTTGCCCTGAAATTTTCAGACGAATCTGACAACCCGTTGTTGGGTTGCTGCCCCTGAGTTAGTAATTTTACAGAAATTTTGCAGTTTTTTGTTATTATCTTAGATATTATTATAATATCTAATATCTAATACTATTAATTATGATTTTAACCTTATTTTACATGATTTCCAAAGCATCAGTAAATACAGGTGAGCGACACAGGCTCTTGAGAGCCTCTAGTTTCTTCGTTCTTGAAGATATTGATTTGATATTTGGTATATAGTTTTATCATGACAAGTTATAGATCAAACTAAATTTTGTTCCGATCTGATGATATAATCCAGAGTTATGGACCATAACTCTGGACCATATCTAATGTTAGAGTACCATGTTAAACCATATTTATGTACAAAGGGAGATAACTAATTTTTTAAAAGACATTCTTTGTTCAATTATTTGAAGAATTTTTTGGCAGATTTGTTAGTTATTTAGTATAAACTAATTTTCTGAATGCTATATATATAAAAATAATTATGGAGAGAAATCCTTTAATTAAATAATTATCTATTTTTATTATGTGTATATTTCAATACATTACATTGTGTAGATAAAAGTTGTTGACATTTTATAGATAAGTTACAAATCTATATTAGTTTGTGACAAATGAAAGAAAAAATATTTGGAACTATTAATTATATTTGATTATAATTTGAAAATAGATATACACTGTATTACATCATATCTAATTTTAGAGAACTATTAATCATTGCTAATGTTTTTTTCATCATGCTTATACGATATTGATTGATAATTGGTATATAGTTTTATCATGACAAGTTACAGATCAAGTTCAAATTTTTGTTTCGGTCTAATAATTTTGTGCAGAGTTATGGTCCTTGGACTTGAAAAATTCACTCATATAATCAGTTTTCCACACTGTTTTTAGTCATGCTTGAAGATATTGACATGTTATTTACTTTTTGTTTACACCATGGCAAGTTATATAACAAGTTAGCATTTTGTTCCAGCATAATGAATTTTTACCCAGTAGGGGACTATGTATTGCCATGCAATACACTCAGAATGCTTGTTATTTTTGGCCATGGCGTTGTCAGTTTGTTTTCGATCTATGAGTTTGACTGTCCCTCTGGTATCTTTCGTCCCTCTTTTATGATGTATTTAAATGGGTAATTATGGTTGCAAACTCCATTGGAAATTTGAATTGAGATTATGACCATATCTTGAGGGAAAGATTTTTTTTTTTAAAAAGGGGGGGGGGGGTGCGGGTAAAAAAGAAATTGTGGGGGGGGGGGGACAATTTTTTCTCATTCCAGATTTCAGAAATAAAAAAAAAAAAACTTCAGATATTATTTTTTTTTTGCAAAAAAAGGGTGGGTCAATTAGCAACGGCATAGTGTATTGCACAAAAGCAAGAAATTGAATATAAATTCAAATCATATAACCAATTCTAAGTTCTTTGACTACAGTTATTCTGTGTCAGAAACCTATTATGTGTCAAATATTTAGTTACAATCCAAATTCAGACCTGTATCAAGCGCGAATATTGTGTCCATTTTTGCCCCAACTGTTCAGGGTTGGACCTCTGCGGTCGTATCCAGCTGCGCTCGGTAAAGCAATTTATTGTAATGTGAAATACTCACTTATTATGAGTAATAGGATAACTATATTTGGTATATGGGTTCATTGCAAGGTCTACATGTCTGTCAGACAGGGTTCACCTGGCCTCGACCTCATTTCATGGTTCAGGTATCATGGGCAATTTTACATGGTCAATTCTGTATCTCAGATACTAGAAGCAATAAGTCAACTATATTTGGCGTTAATAGGTTTCATCTGACCTTGACCTCATTTACATGGTTCATTGGACAATATATAGTTTTTGTTGTTTGGTTCATTTCTCAGATACTATCAACAATAAGGCCTCTATAGTTGGTGTATGGAATGATTGTAAAGTGTTCATGTCTGACTGCCCTCATTTTCAAAGTTCATTGGACAATGCACATGTCTGACTGGCAGGTTTCATCTGACTATGACCTCATTTTCATTGGACAATGTTAAGTTTTCATGATTTTGTCAGGTTATCAATTACTATAAGCAAAAATTCAATTATATTTGGTTGATGGAATGATTGTGAGGTATACATGTCTGTCTTACAGGTTTCATATGACCTTGACCTCATTTTCATGGTTCATTGGTAAATGTTAAGTTTTTGTGGTTCTGTTTTCCAGGTACTATAAGCAATAGGACCACTATGTTTGTTGTATGGAATGATTGTAAGGTGTACTTGTCCGTCTGACATGGTTCATATGACCTTGACCTTATTTTCATGGATCATTGATAATGTTAAGTTTATGTTACACACAGTAAAACCTTCATAATACAGACTTTCAACATAAATTCAATCATAACTACAGCAGGCGTGACATTTCGACATGTACACTCTTGTTTATGCTATTTATGTACCCACAACTATATAGTACTTGCAAGTACAAACTAAATAGTTTATCATAATGTTTGTCTGTATGAACATCACCATTCATGTAAATATTTGTGTGATTCTTGCATGTATGTGCTAACTATTTCCCACAACCAAATATGTGTGAAAGTATGCAATTTTTGTCCTTTTTTTAGAATATTGTAATTTTGTTTTCTTTCCATTGTAAAATTCTATAAAATTCATAATATTTCAAAGATTTAACAGTTTAAAATTAACACATCTTTGACCTTTATTTTAAAGCTAAAGTTACCTAGTTTTGTTATCCTTCATTTTGGTAGGCACCTCCTCCTTTCACATTCATTTCTAATTTGTTATATATATATATATTATGAAATGGAATGGAATACATGTATTAGAAAATATTTTAGTTATGTGTAGACTTGACTACCCTTCATATTTATTCATAGTTGAGAGGGGGGAGGGTTCATTTCTATACATATCTTTTGAGTCATAGATCAGAACCAATATTTGGTGGAAAGAACCCTGTTTTGAGGTCATTGGTTGAAAGATCAATGTCACAGCAACACCAAATAATTAACATTTAATGACAATATCATTATTTGGAAAGAAATTTTGAGAAAGTCTTGCTTCTTAATTATAAGCTTTAATTTGTTGACAGGGTGGATTCAGTGTGAACATTAACAACAGACCACTACAAACATTGTATGGACATGAAGGGGAAGTAACTGCTGTGTACATTTCTACAGAACTTGATATGGTAGCTTCAGCATCCAGGGTATGCATATATATTTTGCTTGTAGAAAGCATAGTTCATGAGGAATTTACTAAAAATAAAAAGGAGAAAAGGGATATGAAGATTTACAGGAATCAAAATTTCACAATATAATTTGCGAAAATAAACTCTGAATCAAATAAACATCAAGTTTATTGCTGTTCTCCATCTTAAATGCTGTGGATTCATTTTAAGCTCATCTGGCCCATAGGGACATGTGAGCTATTTATTCAGTGTTCCAGCTAGGATTTCAAAAGGGCAGGGTGCCAATCCTGAAAAAGGGCATTTAACGCGTGATATGATAATATGAAAAGGGCATGTTTTAATAAAGATTATAATCAAACATTGTTTGTTCATTGAATCACTGGTTATAAATATACAAGAACAACATCATTAGCCCAGAGAAAAACTATCTTTCTACTTTTTAGGCTGAAAACTTATCAAGCAGCTTGTGACACAAGTTTTAAATCATTGCTTGGCACAGTTAAGCTTTATATGCAGTATTTTTTGAAAAATGTCCCGCTTCATTCTGTTTCTATGGTCTGACACACTTTACAAGTTTCACCTTTCTACCTTTTCTGTGCTTAATGGCAATACAGCACAAAACAGCTGTAAATGCACAATGTTAGGATATAGTGAACAGTGAAAATTTGGATTGAAAATAAAAAATACAGAAAAAGATGACCAAGGCACCCTACCAACCCTGCTACTAAGACCCTCTTTAACTTTTCCCATAACTCAAAACACCTAAACATATAAATTCTAAAGCCAGAAGTATGAAGACATATTTTATGATATCTTAGCAGGTTACTCAATGCTAGGAAAAAATAAGATTGAGTTATCTTTCTTTATTTGTGTGTGCTCCTTCTTTGGAGGATAATAAACAGTACGTAGAAGATGTAAATACGATCAACAATATGGCGGCCGATTTTGTTATTTTCGTATATCTGAAATAAGTAATGCAGTTAGAGCAAAACTGATAGAGGTAAAAATGATTAGCAGGTAAAGATCTATTTGCTTGGAAATTTTCCGACAAATCTGACAACCCGATTTGGAGTTATTGCCCCTGAAATAATCATTTTTATTCAATTTCTCAGTTTTTATGCCACCGCCATAGCAGAGGGGGCATTAAGTTTTACCCTTGTCCGTCTGTACGTCCATCCTTCAGTCCATACGTATGTCCCGAAATTGGTTTCTGTTCTCTAACTTAAGTTTGCCTCAACCAAATGTTATGAAACTTATACACAATACTAATTACCACAAAACACAGATCATATTTGAATTTTGGTGGCATAACTTTTACCATTCTAGAGTTATGCCCTTTACAAATGGAAAATTGCTGAATTTATCGTTTCCGTTCTCTAACTTTAGTTTGCCTCAACCAAATGTTATGAAACTTATACACAATGCTTATTACCACAAAACACAGATCAAGTTTGAATTTTGGTGGCGTCACTTTAACGGTTCTAGAGTTATGCCCCTTTACAAATGGAAAAATTTCTGAATTTTTCGTTTCCGTTCTCAAACTTTAGTTTGCCTCAACCAAATGTTATGAAACTTATATACAATGCTTATTACCACGAAACACAGATCAAGGTTGAATTTGGGTAGCGTCACTTTTACCGTTCTTGAGTTATGTCCCTTTATAATGTTATATGCAAGCGGGGGCATCATCTGTGTCCCATGGACACATTTCCCATTTATTGGTTATCTTAAAAACTATCTTAAATGAAGAGAAATTTTAAAAAGCAAAAATATTCAACAAAGTAAGATTTACCAGTAAGTCTATTTCTGAATTTTCTAATGAATCCTTTATAGTCTTATTGCCCTTGAAAGACTTTTATTTTTTATTTTTTTAGTGTTTTTTTTCAGAAACTAGGATAGATAAATAGAAACTTTATACAGCAAAAATATTCAGCAAAGTAATACCTACAAATAAATCAACATGTCAGAAATTGTCAATTAAACCATTGTAGGAGTACCCTTGAAAAGACAATTTTTTCTATTTTTATGCCCCAGCGGTAGCGGAGGGAGCATTAAGTTTTACCCTTGTCCGTCCATACGTACGTACGTCCCAAAATTGGTTTCCGTTCTCTAACTTTAGTTTGCCTCAACCAAATGTTATGAAACTTATACACAATGCTTATTACCACAAAACACAGATCAAGATTGAATTTTGGTGGCATCACTTTAACCGTTCTAGAGTTATGCCCCTTTACAAATGGAAAATTGCTGAATTTATCGTTTCCGTTCTCTAACTTTAGTTTGCCTCAACCAAATGTTATGAAACTTATACACAATGCTTATTACCACAAAACACAGATCAAGTTTGAATTTTGGGGGCATCACTTTAATGGTTCTAGAGTTATGCCCCTTTACAAATGGAAAAATTGCTGAATTTTTTGTTTCCGTTCTCTAACTTTAGTTTGCCTCAACCAAATGTTATGAAACTTATATACAATGCTTATGACCACGAAACACAGATCAAGGTTGAATTTTGGTGGCGTCACTTTAACTGTTCTAGAGTTATGCCCCTTTAGAAATGGAAAAATTGCAAAATTTTTATTTTCTTCTAAATATCAAGTAATTTTTAAAATTGGAGTTATCTTCCTTTGTCCATGATTATAGTTGAATACAATCAATGATTTATGCAATGCAATGTTTAATTTTGACTTCCACTGATAAAACACAGATCAAGTTGAATTTGGGTAGCGTCACTTTAACCGTTCTTCAGTTATGTCCCTTTATAACTATATGATATGCAAGTGGGGGCATCATCTGTGTCCACATGTGGACACTATCCACATTTATTTATATATAAACTATGAAAGATAGAAACTATAATCAAGCAAAAATGTTCAGCAAAGGAAGACCTACAAATAAGTCAGCATGACCGAAATGGTTAATTAATCCCTTATAGCAGTTATTGCCATTGGAAGATGATTTTTTTCCATTTTCTTTAGTTTTTTGCAGAAACTATGATAGAGAGAAACTTTATATTGCAATAATGTTCAGCAAAATAAGACCTACAAATATGTCAACATGATCGAAATTTTCAATTAAAAAACCCTTATTGGAGTTATTACCCTTGAAAGATGATTTTTACAGTTTTTTGCAGAAACTATGATTGAAAGAAAATTTAAATGGGATTTTTAAACACACATTAATATACATTAAACAGTAAAATCATCATGGATGTATTAAAGACCTACACAAAAAAATCTAGGTGAGCAATTCAGAAGAATTATAATATTTTTCAGAATATTGTTGATCATTGATCTACAGTACATTTCAGGGTGTGCTTGTTATAACTTGCCTTAAACAAGTTTTGAGGAAAGGATTGTTAACTAACATGAATAATATGAAATAAACTCATCATAGATACTAGGATTAAAATTTTGTATGCCAGACACGTGTTTTGTCCACAAAAACTCATCAGTGAACCAAAAAGTTAAAAAGGCTAAATAAAGTACAAAGTTGAAGAGCACTGAGGACCCAAAATTCAAAGAGATGGAACCTCTTGCACTTAGAATTACTTACTATCGAGATGTGTATTTGACTTGTTTTTGAAAGCTACCCTTTATTTCCTGTTTGATCAGCAATTATATATGTGATATATGACAACTTGGCAACTTAACTTGGTTTTTGCATATAAAATAAAAATATATATTGATTACATTTAATCATATCTTCATCAATAATTCAGGAATTTTAACAAACTTTACAATTATCATTTTGATTACATTTGAGTTTCCATTGGAACCAAATTTTTTCTGGTGTTTACAGATAATCAAATACTGTGTGTTCACTTAATTTGAAAATGATCAGAACAATAATCACCTGATTGTGTGTGCAAAACTTTTAACAATCACTGGTAATCAATAAGTAAGAAATTAGGTGTTACTTATATTGATAATTTGATTGATTGGTGTTTAACACCACTTTCAGCACTATTGTCTATTTTGTGTCCATCAGTTTTTATTGTTGGAGGAAACTGGAGAGAACCACGGCCTTCGGCAGGGAAACGTGTTACTTAAATTTTCCTGCAGTAGACTTGAAAGGCTTTCCCCTGTCACCTGGTATACTTATTAAATGACTTTAATTATTCAAATGTCTAGTTTTACACTCTTCATGCCAACTACAAAACAAGTAACCTTTGTCAACACATGAAATCAAAAGTTGAATTTGCTTTTTTTTCTACAATGTATAAGAAAGCTCTGATTTTGACAATTCAAAACAATTATGAACTTATTTAAATCTTCTTTATCATTTTAATTCTCAAATTATCTTAAACTCTTTTTTTAGTTTTTGAAACAAGGATCCTTGAATTTAGGTATCCCACAAAATTCCTTTTTTCTATTATTCACAAAAATTGATACCCATGAATTAAAATAAATTCATTGTTGCATAAAAAACTCATCAAAGCTACCAGGATTATAATTTTGTATGGCAGACATGGGTTTCGTCTTCAAACTAGTCATCAGTGATGCTCAAATCAAAAAAGTTAAAAGGCCAAATAAAGTACGAAGTTGAAGAGCATAGAGACCCAAAATTTCAAAAGGTCAAAGAAAGTTTTAAGTTTAGAGAAAAATCATGCATATGTTAGGGTTGTAAATAGGAATTGACTTCTTTTTGCATGTTGTTGATTGGAAGGAAAAACTGCAATATAAGGTACAAAGATAAATTTCATTTACAAATCAAGACCAACAAATTATAAATACCGTTATTTGCTACATAATACTCAAAATGTCAGATGCAAATGATGAAAGAAAACCTTGCTGTTGCAGGATGGAACAGTTATTTTACATACAGTTAGAAGGGGTCACTACATGAGAACACTGCACCCTCCTTGTGCCATGGGATATACTTTACACATACCATTGCTAGCTGTGGATGAGATGGGAAGGATTATTCTCTATTGCCATGAGAAGTTCCCTATTGATCCAAAGGTAACAATATAGAAGTAAGAATGCTAGTTGCCAGTATTTATGTTAACATTAGGCCAGTTAAAATGAATTACAAAATTTCATTCCCTTCAACCTCTGAAAAATTATGCGAGACTTTTTTTCAGCTCATCTGACCCACAGGGTCAAATGAGCTATTCTCATCACTTGGCATTCATCTTCTGTAATCATCATGGTCCTTTGTCCTATAACTTTTTAAAAATATTTTCCTCTGAACCTACTGGGCAAATTTGGACCAAAATTGTCTGCAGTCATCATTGGGGTATGTAGTTTAAAAATCTGTCTTGTGATTTTGTCTGATGGCTAAAAATAGAACATAAGGGGTAAATTCAAGGTTTGTCCATTATCTTTAAAAAGTGCTATAAACATGACAGATAGATAAAATCTGACAGGGGCAGAAATGTTCAGAATGTTGATTGATTGATTGGTGTTTAACGCCAATTTCAGCACTATCATGCTAGTTCATGGCGGTCAGTTTTTATTGGTGGAGGAAGCCTGAGTGCCCGGAGAAAAACACAGACCTTTGGTAGGAAAACTGACAATCTAGTAAATTAAGATTGGAGTCAAGTGCACCTACCACGTGCGGGATTCGAACTCACAACCTCAGTGTTGACAGGCTAGTGATACAGTAGTATATAGTAGTGTAGGTAAAATTCGACAGGTGCAGAAATGTTCGAGAATGTTGAGATCTACCTACTGTCCATTTACATCAAAACTGTCAGACAACTTGATGATAATATTATCAGCAAGATGAAATTTACAAATAAGTTGATATTTCCGACATCATCATCTTTTAAGAGTTAATGTCCTTAAATGAGGATTTTTACCAATTTTTTGTGTTATTGCCTATTAATTTTAATGTACGATAGATGCAAAATTGATCAGCAAGATGAGATCTCAAAATAAGTCAACATGCCGGAAATCTTCAGTCGACTCCTTATTTGAGTTATTGCCCTAATTGACTATTTTTACTATTTTTTGTGTTTTTGCCTATTTTGAAAATTATAATAGATAAATAGAAACTACTCTCTTTTTGGGAGGTATTGCCCTTTAATGACTATTTTTACCATTTTTTGCCTATTATCTTCAAAACAATGATAGATAGATAAAAACTTTAAATAGCAAAAATGATCTGCAAGACAAGTTATAGAAAAGTCAACATGTCAGTTCCTTAAATATAATTTTTACCAATTTATTTAGTTATTGACTAATATTTTGAGATAGGAACTACTCCTTTTTGGAGTATAATTTCTTAATGATTGTGAAAAGTGACTAAGTGTCTACCATGTAGGTTAGAGGAGGAATAATAAAGAAACTGAAGAAAATAAAATTCTTAAAATCAGGATTATAATTTTGAATACTTGTGTTATTACAACATTCTTGATCTAATATAAAGAAGTGTTTAATTAGGATATATGTATATCATGAAAAATTGAATAAAAAGTTAATACTGTGGATATAATAAACTCTAGTGATAAAGGGAAAAATATTGGTAAGATATTCCAAAAAATCTTAAAATGACAATTATAATTTTAAATGTGTTATTACAAAATTGTGGATCTAATATGGAAAAGTTGCATCTGTTTTAATAATAGTATATATCATGGAAAATGAAATAAAATGTGAATACCATGGATATAGTCAAATATAGTGTTATATTCCAAAATGATTCATTAAATTAGGATAATATTTTTTATTATTTCAAAAAGTGAAACTCGAATACTGGATGGGATATTAAATTAATGTGTAAATAAATAAATAGATAAAATAGTTCATTCATAACTATTATTTTGATATTTCACAAGTACATAAACACTGTGGACAAAGCTAGTGCCAATGGGCTTTGAACAAATAGTTTAAATAAGGGAATGCACACGTTAATTTGTTCTGAGATGTTTAAACATTTATTTATCTTGGAAATTTATGGAATGATTATCACATTGAAATGAGTAAAAAAAAAGTTTTTGAGTCATCTCCCTTTAGTCAACAAGATTAAAGGTATTTCAACAATATATAAAAAATCCATTTGGCTATGAAAGCAATAAAGAAACAAATTGAAAAGCAATATAAGAAAAACAATTACTGTATCTTGATTATAAGTGTTTCTCTCCACCTATGACTAATTTTTGAATTGCTAAAAAAATGTAAAATTTAAGTTTTTGAATTATTGTGGCAGGAAACTTTTTGCTTCAATCATAAACTAGTTTAAATTGTTTGCATGTAATGTTAATTAACCAACAACCATCTCAGTAACACCATGGCTGTCATTGGTTATATAGAGAAAAAATAATTGTGAAAGAATAAGAAACAGTGGTCAAGTATTGCGATAGGATCCTGGGAGATCTGGTATAGGATTGTGAAGGAAATCTTATCAAGAAGACACATGCAAATCAATAGATAATCTTATTTATTGAATTTTAATGAAAAATTTTGAAAAAATAAAACTGTCTGTCAGAATGGTTCATTATTATGATCAGGTGCTCTTTTCACAAGAAATCATAAGACAAAAGTTAATCATAAGTTATATAAAATGTTCATGACTTACAAGTATTTTTTCTTGTAAGATTTTTTGTGAATTGAATCACAGTTATCGTATAAAATCAGATGTTAGATTATCACTGTTTTTAAAAAACTATTCAAGGCAGATTGCTCTTCAACATTTCAATGAATGTAAATAAACATGATTTTTTTAATTATATGAATAACAAACAACAACAACAACATAAACAACAACAATACTTTATTAAGTCTCCCAAACGAAGTTTGGGAAGACTTATTGTTTTTGCTCAGTTCTTATTATTATTATTATTCTTCTTCCTCTTCCTCTTCCGCCGCTTTTAAATTTGAACTTGTCCGCACCCGTTCTCCAAAACCGCTTGTCAGATTAACTTAGGATTTCACAATATGTTAGACTAACATGTCTAGTGGTGCAATCAGGGTTTTGTTTGTGCAATGGGGTTTACAAAGGGGTATTTTGAGTGGCAAAAAGAAAAGAGGGTTTTACTATAGAACCCTATGGGATTTTATTTTTTAAAATTTTCAAATGATTATAAATTGAAAACCGTTTGTGATAGACACAATCTTTTTAATTGAAAATGTTCTAAATGATAAAACCCATTAAATGAAATACAGGGTTAGTCCCCAGGGGTCACCCCCACCCCCTGCCATTTAAGAAAGTTCTAATACCTTGTAAGTGGTCAAGATCCCCACCCCTAAACCATATATATTCTGGTTTGTCATGCTAAGATGGTTTGAATGATATACAGGGTTAGTCCCCAGGGGTCATCCCGACCCCCTGCCATTTGAGAAAGTTCTAATATCTTGTAAATGATCGAGATCCCCACCCCTAAACCATATATATTCTGGTTTGTCATGCTAAGATGGTTTGAATGATATACAGGGTTAGTCCCCAGGGGTCATCCCGACCCCCTGCCATTTGAGAAAGTTATAATATCTTGTAATTGGTCGAGATCCCCACCCCTAAACCATATATATTCTGGTTTGTCATGATAAAGCACATGAAATGAAATACAGGGTTAGTCCCCAGGGGTCACCCCCACCCCATGCCATTTAAGAAAGTTCTAATATCTTGTAAGTGGTCAAGATCCCAACCCCTAAACCATATATATTCTGGTTTGTCATGCTAAGATGGTTTGAATGATATACAGGGTTAGTCCCCTGGGGTCATCCCAACCCCCTGCCATTTGAGAAAGTTATAATATCTTGTAAATGGTCGAGATCCCCACCCCTAAACCATATATATTCTGGTTTGTCATGATTAAGCAAATCAAATGAAATACAGGGTTAGTCCCCAGGGGTCACCCCCACCCTATGCCATTTAAGAAAGTTCTAATATCTTGTAAGTGGTCAGGATCCCAAACCCCTAAACCATATATATTCTGGTTTGTCATGCTAAGATGGTTTGAATGATATACAGGGTTAGTCCCCAGGAGTCGTCCCGACCCCCTGCCATTTGAGAAAGTTCTTATATCTTGTAAATGGTTGAGATCCCCACCCCTAAACCATATATATTCTGGTTTGTCATTCCAAGATGATTTGAATGATATACAGGGTTAGTCCCCAGGCATCACTAATGCATATAACTTTACTGGACCAAAACAATTTTCACTGGACTTTGCCCAAAGGCGACCCTGGGAATTACGAATTATGGGAGCTTCGTTTGGGAGACTTCGTAACAGCATCCTGTTACAATCATTTCTTGTTTTAAGAGGGTTACACAGTTAGCTATATAACTAATCTTCCCTGAGGCCCTCATCATAAAAAATCAAACAAAATGCAAACATATGCATTGCATACATTAGTATAAAAAGACAAGTATGATAATAATGTTCAATACAACTTGATAAAGTGTTATGAAAAAATAAACGTGATGACATAATCAGTTTTCAATATTTTTTTATACAGCTAGGTTGATTTCAATAAATGATCTGTTATTTTGTATTTGAAAGAATTAACATTTGTAATATTTCTTAACGGTATGACGTGAATGACTAAATAACTGTTCTCTGAACAATGTCTTTTTATATTAATGTTCCAAATGGCTTTCAAATTATTTTGAAGTAGCTTAATCAGAAAATGGGTCAAAATAGGAATATTTGTATACATTTGTATTTTTAATGTGAAAGATCTGGTACCACTTTTTGAGGTTGTGAAAGATCCAGTGTTGCTTTTTTATGTAATTGGTTCAGAAAATGATTGGACTTCCATGTGTGGTTCAATGCCATTTGGTCTGGTTTTTTTATAAGACCATGCCAACCTGTCTGTGGTGTCGTAAAGCAATTACTGTATGTCAGTTGGTCTGTCAACATTTTTATACGACTGCAAAAAATGACCGCAAAAAATTTGCATTCGTATATTGCTATCATGTCGTCTTTGTCTGAAAACATTTGGTTTCTGGACAATTATTTTAGTTTAAGTGTATGGATCTCTATGAAATTTAATCAAAAGGTTCAATACCACAAAAG